CGGGGGCGGACTCCTGCCGCCCAGCTGAGCCGCGATTCGTCACTCGTACAGAACTTTCCCCCTTAAAATCCCCGCTCCCTAACCAGCCCTCCCTCCCCGGGGAGGTTTTGATTTTAGTGGCTTTCCTTCCTTTTATTTTGCGTCGTGTTGGGGGTTGGCATCGAAGCGAACTTGCGGCCGGTCCGAGTGCAGTTTCAGAGGTGGCCGCCCTGCCGCGGGTGACCCGGGCACCATGCACTCCGAAGCCGAGGAAGCCAAGGAAGGTATGATTCTGATTTCTCGGGGGCCGGCCAAGTCTGGCGGAGGAATGTGGAGGGAGGGCGCCTAGGGGAGCAGATGGGAGCCTGCGGGGAGCGGTGGGTACTTTGTTCCTTTCCCTGCGCCTTCCCGGCCCTGTTAGAGCTGCCTGTGCCTAAGGCTGTGCCCTCCCCATCCAGCCGCCCTTCAGAGCGGATGGGAGGCAGAGCGGACCCAGCTCCAGGCAGCCCACAGAAGGCTGCCTTGTAGATTTCTCTGGAAACGGAGCGGCCCGGTACTGCCTCCAAGAATGCACAATGTGCTTGGAAAAGCACCGCCTGCATCAGGACAGCCCCTAGCCCGTCCCCTGGAAGAGCCCTCAAAGTCGAGGGTCTCTTGAAAAGGGATTTCAAAACTTAGAAACGCCCTGTGTTCCAGGCTAAAAGGGGAAGCTGAGGGAGGGGGAGAAGTGAAAGCTCTTTATTCGGGGAATCGGGTGGGTTTTTTCCCCCTTGCTGGCTTTTTCAGCAGCGAGTTCATTCTGTTGGGGGCTGAAGGGGCTGGGAGATATGACTGGAGCCTTGTGCAGCGTGAAACTGAGGAGAGTCTGTCTGTTTCTAACTTTGCCAAAGCCGGGGTTTCATTTACTCCTAACAGAGAACGGGTGACAAGGCTGGACAAGCTCCAACCAAAACACAATTATACGCTCGTGTTAGTTCGGGGAGTTTATTTGTGTGTGAGTGTTTGTATGCTTTGTTTCCTGAAACTTTATGTCTACAAAAGTCCTCTTGTACGCGGGGGTGGGAGTGGGGATGGCTGGGGAAAATGAGCGTGAGGGCGCAGAATGTTCAAGATTGTGAAATTCCTTTTTTTTGCAAGTAGCCTCTTGGCCAACTGGTACATGTTAAGTCAATCACAGCAGCTCCGGGAGCCCGAGAAGCCCAAGGAGAGCCCTTGGAAGTTGTCCTCTCCGGTCTCTTACTGGTTCTACCAAAGTAAAAGCTCCGTGTTTCGTAATGTCTCTGTGGGCCGACGTTTTACCTTCTTATGCCATAGAGGGAAGCAGTCCATTAAAAAGAGGCTCCTTTAATAGAAATGCGGGGCTGGTGCGAATGAAAATGACAGCCAGGAGCATTGCTTTTGAGCTTGATGTGGAGCTTGGGGGATTACCGTTTCCTTGCTGTGACCTGCGTCCTGATGGAGCTGTGTGCTGATGGGTACTTCTCTTTTCTGTCTCATTAGCAGCAGTCTCTAGTAAGGCAAACGTAGTTGAAGGAAGGCAAAGAGGAAATGGGCTGAGAGAATCCAATGGTGAACTTCTGTCTCAATGACAAGTAGCACTTAAGTCGGTATTTTCTCCCGGGCATGTTTTTCCTTTCTTTTGGGTAATAAGGGAGAGGGGAGAAAGTAGAAAGACAGTATCCCGAAGTACCTTACATACTTCTCTGGCAGTGCCCACATTCTTTCCTCCTGCCCAGCTCTCTGGTTGTAACCCTGAAAGTGAGTGTAAAGAGGTCCCTGATGGCCCCCCTTCTCACCTCACCTCCACGTGTCATCATTTTCATTCCACAGGTCTGCGGCAAATTATCGGGCCTCCATGCTACTTACAGAAAGCCCAGAATGTTTCTTGTAAAAGAATATGAGGTGCTAGAGTTTTAAATCGATGGCAGTTAGGGTAGAATATGGAATAACTCTTGAGGGAGATTGATCACATACTTTATTAACAGATGGAATTATTGCAGCTTCTGCTGTTCAAGATTGTGAAATTCCCTGTGTGTGTGTATGTGTGTGTGTGTGTGTGTGTGTGTGAGTGTGTGTGAGTGTGTGTGTGTGAGTGTGTGTGTGTGTGTGTGTGTGAGTGTGAATGTGAGTGTGTGTGTGCGCGCGCGCGCTTTCATGTGTCCCGGGCAGCTCTCAAAAGGCTGGTTATTGGCTGGGATCTAGACCCACCACTGAGATGTCTATGAAAGGAGCTATGCTGTGTAGATAACATCTCACTTCTTTATCTTTACTACTCCTTTCCCCTCTCCTTAGCTTTTTTCTCCCTCTCCTGTGGACTTCTGTATCCCATGCAGTGTGACATCACCATAAGCTCTTCACAATGTCTTCATTGCAAGAAGATTGTCTTCAGATGCTTCATGCCTTCGTGCTGTAATGGGAGATACTTTTAAGTCATTATTCTGAACCGAGGGGCAAAACTAGTATACTTTGTTTGGGGATGAATCTGAAAAGAATACCAAGTCAGATTCAGAGGTCCTTGGAGGCCAAGATATTTGTGAATGTAGTAGCAATGACTGGGGATATTGTTAAGCCATCGTAGCTTAGAATGTACTTGATCCCATGCCAGGAGTGTTGAACTTTCATCCTGAGTCTATAGCCACCTCTTAAAGAATTGATTTAATTTTGCCTGCTTACAAATAATTATGTAATTGTGCTTGAGTATTAAACAGAGAAAAATAATTCAGGCCTCACTTTAGTGAAAGCTGAATACATTTAAGATATTCAGACATACAATGATAAGAAAGCAAGAGATATGAAGGAAAACCCCACTTTATTAAAAAGGGGAAGCCATTAAAAGGAAAGATACAAACAGTATCCACCCAACAGATGAGGGCTTCCTGAGGAGATAGGTTGATGGCCATGTTTTTGGCATTTAGTTGCTTTCTGCTGAGTAAATTAATTAGATAGTAGGAAAAATGAATGGCAGTTAAGATCTCTGAGTGTCTTTCTGGTGCTAAGCATCCAGGGATCCAGGGCTCCTTCGCCCTGGTTTTGAAGCTTTGGTACCAGAAAGGGAGGATGCCGTTGTTAAGGAGGGGTAGCCTTGAGAGGACTCGGAAAAGAGTAAGCGTTGAGCTGTGAGTGAGCTCGGCTCCTCCTCCATTGCCCATAATAGCATTTCCCACCACCACCTCATCCAGTCATGCATGCCTCACCAGGCCTGCTATTTCACAAAGAAAACAGTAGCCATTAGACAACTCCCTCAACTTCCTGCTTCCAGACCCACAGGCTCACCTCCACCCACACCCACCCTCCTGATGTCTGTGGAACAGGTGTGTGTCATTCTCACTGCAGAAGGCCACTCCTTCCACCTCAGGCTCCTCACTGCACCAGTCAGCTGCATGTCTTCCCTGGCTCCTTCACTTCTGTGTGTAGACGTGCTCAACCTCCCTACTTCAGGGTGTCAGCACTTGCTGTTCTTTCTGCCTGAAATATCCTTCTCTCCACCTGACCTCTTTTCCTGATCATTCCCTGGTTGGAGGCCTTTCCTGAATCTCCAACCTAAATTAGGATCCCTAATTGTCCTTTCTCGGAGCACCTATTCTTTTCCTCAAGGTCACTCATCACATTGTTTAGCATCTCTTCTCTAAACCATAAACCCTTAAGGGCAAAACCATGTCTGTTGTATTCTTCATTGTATATCTAAGACATATCCAATAAGAGGTGATCATTCAATCTATATATATAAAAGGCTAATATGCTAAGTGTCTGACCATCCGAGTAATGACGTCACGTAGCAACGCCCAGTTTCCTTTAACTAGCAACTAGCCTCCTTGCAGATTCTTCAGCCCAGGAACATGACTTGCTTTATAGCCAGGTGGAAACATTTCACACTGTAACCGAATGTCTGTGAAGTGTTTTCCCATGCCTATCTCATTTGATCCTCACAGAAGTCCTAGAGTAGGTAGATAGGAGACTTGGTGGAATCGTATTTTCTTTTAATTAGCCTGAAAACCGAGATTAGAAACTTGACCAGACTGAAAAGAAGTAAGAAATGGTGGACCTTGAAAATGACTTTAGGTTTTGTCACTACACAGAATATAGTCAAGCACTGCTGCAGTTAAATATTTTACCCTTTGTTCTCCCTGCATGATCTACAATAATAATCTGCTTTGTGTTGATGTTTACTGCTGTGTTGCTGACAATTACCTGAAAGAGAAGTTGGGGTGCTTCACTGGGCTGGAAAAAGTTTAGCTACATCAGAAAGCACATCTACTTAAGCAAGTTTATTCTATATCTATAAAAGGCTAAGTTGACTCGTGCGTGTGCGATACATATAAAGCTCTCGCTGGTGCCAATCACACTTGTGTGTGTTTTGATCTGTCATTGCCAATTGTGAATTTGGTTGACACTTCTATTATAAGGAAAGGGCAAATAGCGATATTAAAATATTTCTTCTAATTAATTTCCTTTCCCACTAGTATTTTATAAAATGAATGAATGACCTCCATTTAAAAAAGGTAATACTCAATATTTTGTTCAATTTTAGACATTCCTCTCTCCTTTAAAATGAACCCTTTAAAAAGAAAGAAGCTTTTGCATGTTTTCTACTTTTTCACTCTTGTTCATCCTTCAACCCATTGAAGTCTATCTTTTTTCTACCATTCCACTGAAATCACCAATATCACCAGTGACTTCCCAGGTGCTAAAATCACCAATGATCAGCATTCACATTTCTGTCCTGGTCTTATACTTGATCTTTTTTTGCAGCATTGGACACTAGGAGGCCAATGTCTCTGCAACCCTCAACTCCTTCCTTGGTTCCTATGACACAACACTCTCCCGATTTCCCTTCCCTTTTCCAGCTGTTGATTTCTAATCTCCTCACTCTCCAGCCTGGGCTCTTCCCAGAGCCACCTGTACACCCAGCAGCTGGTAAGCACGATGCTTTGAATGTCATGTAGTCACCTCAAATTCAGTATGTGTAAACTGAGCCCATCATTTCCTACTCTCCATAAATCTGGTCCTCCCTTTGTATTTTCACTGATCATTGCTCTCTTTGGCTTCCAGATTACACATCTGCAAGTTGTCCTTGATACTGTCCTTTATCCTCAGATTCTTCCTGACTCTTCAACCTCCTCATTATTTGTTGAACGTATCTCCCCCATCTCTGCTTTGGTTCTCGCCCTCAGCATTTGTCCCCTGATGGTGATAATAACCACCTCTGTCATCAGAATTCTTGGATACAAGAAATGGAAATTGATTCCTGCTATCATAAGCAGGAGAAATGTATTCAGAGTGTATTGGGTAGTTCACACATCCACAGAAAGGTTGTTCACACATCCTCTGAAAATACATCAGGAGATGCAGCGAGGACATACCCTAGAATTGCCTGGTAAGGAACTCACCATGGCCTTTTCCTCCTCTGTATTTTTCAGTTCTGTCACTGCTGGGACTTCGGATGTGGCCGAAATTTGGTCATCCTGAACATTCAAAAATCCCTGGCATAAACCATCTGATTCATCAATGCTAGATTGTGTACCTACCCCTTGCTGCCCATGGGAGAGGGAACTTCTGGTTCCAGCTTTTGTAGTGGGAGAGAGGCCTGACTCCTACCAACACTTGCAAAATGAGGGTTTCTCAGAAAAAGGAAGGGAGTTGGATGTGGATCGCCAAAACAACAGCAAATATTGACCACACCACCGGACTGCTCCGTCCAACCCTAGTGTTGCCCTTTTACTTACTTCCTTGTTCCCTCAACAAATGCTGTTTCCTTTGTTGGGATCACTCTCTTGTCGCTCCTCAGGGGGGTCTTGTGGCCACCTGGACCCCTTTTGGAGTAGATGCTCTTTCAGAGAGTTCCCCCAACCCCCTCTACTCCCCTCAGTTGCACCACGTTTCATTTGTTACAGTTATTAGTTTTCTTTACCTTTGCCTCCATTTCATCATGAGCTTTCTGACAGCAAGATTTGTATTATTTTTTCTGAATCTCTGGTGCTTGACCTAGGGCCTCTCATATAGGAGGGCCTAATAAAGCATTAGCAAATTAATTAATTTATTTAAAAGATCATATGATCTGATGAAACTTTTAGAGTAATAAGTCATCTAACCTCACTTTATAGGAATAGTGCCTTTCAAACGTAGAGGACAAGCCCATTTAGAGTGTCCCCACTATAATACAGTCAATGGCAGAGAGAAAACAAGCATGCGCCTTTGATCTCTGGGGTCAGGGGCCAGAGTGGCTTGCTGGCATCTCCAATTGCCTTGAAGACTGAAGAAACAATTGTGAAACCAAAATGTATTTAGCTCTTCCATGTGCCAGACATGGTGCTAAGGATCTGATTGTGTATATTATCTCATTTAATACTTACATTATAACCCTTTGTGTTAATTATACATAACAATTAAGAAAACTGAGGTTCAGCCCTAACTGGTTTGGCTCAGTGGATGGAGCGTCGGCCTGCGGACTGAAGGGTCCCAGGTTCGATTCTGGTCAAGGGCATGTACCTTGGTTGCGGGCACATCCCCAGTAGGGTGTGTGCAGGAGGCAGCTGATGGATGTTTCTCTCTCATTGATGTTTCTAACTCTCTATCCCTCTCCCTTCCTCTCTGTAAAAAAATCAATAAAATATATTTAAAAAAAAAGAAAACTGAGGTTCAGAGAGGTTAAAAACAGGGCCTAAAACTACAAAGCTGTGAACGTGGAATCAGGATTAGAACAAAGGCCGACTGAACATCAAGCCTGAGGTGCTCCTGTGCTGTCCAGAAGCTGCCCTCCCCTCCTCGGGTAGCTTGGCACTCAGGAGGATGCTCTCTGTGGCCCAGTTTGAGAAGCCAGGAGTGGAGAGACCAGGTGTCTTGGAGGGGAAAGAGAATAGCCTGACCCTGCCTCTTTCTCTACTGCTCAGGGCACAGACAGGGAGTCTGGAGTGCACCCTTCAGACCAAGGAGCCCAGCAGGACTGGCTAGGAGGTGCCTAGAGCCTGCTGCAGAGAGGGCCCGGAGCACCTGTGGGACCAGAGGGGCCTCACTTCCTGGGGCAGTGGCCAGCTTGAGACAGAGAGTGTAGACTTCCCTGGTCACTGGTGTGAAACAAGGTTCAATTAATGTGTGTGTTACTTTATCACAACTGGGTGACTTTGCAGCATCCATGGAGTTTCAAGCTTCTTTAAAATCTGGAAGGCGTATACGTATACCAGTGCATGATTCTCAGCACAGTGTGTTCCACTCAGTTGATTCATCCTATCTCCTAATAATACATTAATTGGCGGGGACTATGAACAGGCATTTGCACTCTCAATTGTAGCCCCACTCAGTTTCACCATCTTTTAACAGGCTGCTATGTTCTCAGTGCTTCTGCAGAAGTTTCTCTGGGCTCCAGGTTACCTTGAGTCCGTCTCACCAGAGTCTGCCGTAACTGGGTCCCCAATTCCCTCGTGGGTTTTCCGGAAGCCCGTTTTGATCAATCAGCTTGCCATTCAAATGACTAAGGTCAATCAAGTGCCAGGAAAGAGGTATGCCTGAAGGTTACCCCCCACGCCCATTGTGCCAACAGGCTGGCTTGCAGAACCTTCCAGGGACCTCATGCTCAGCATCCCCCAATCTGCTAGGGCTTATGGCTCTTCAGGGAGCAGAGAAAGTAGAGACTTTCACTAGAAAGAGTGGGACCAACACCAGGCAGGATATCATAGCGAAGTTCAGTTGTTCCATGGTGGTGACTTAGGAATATCCTCTTCAGTCATCAAACACCCCAGTGATTTTATAGAAGCTGCCATACCATGTGGTGTCCTCACTGTTTTAACCTCACATGGGGTGGCAGCTTCTGTAATAGCACCGCTGCTAAGCATCACTGTACCAGTCTCCTCCCCTGCCCCAGCCCTTGCGTTGCAGAGGGAATGGAGAGGACAGCAGGTGACGCGGTGGTTCGGCTCCGAGGAAATGCATGGCACTTGGTGCTGCTGACCTTGATGTCATGTATACTATAAAGGGTGCAGCCTAGCTCGAGACACTGGACTTCCGTGTGATTATGTTTCCTTTTATGTGGTCATTAGGCTTGGAGTGAGGTGTGCTGACAGGGGCTAAAAGTGGACAATCCAGTTAGAGATGTGTGCCCTGCTGTCTCCTCAACAGTGGGTGTCAGGAGTAACCTGGTATTGCCTGACACCCCAGCTCTGTAAGCTTATGTATATTTGGGCCTTCTCTTCCTCACTTCTGAAGTTTTCATCAGATTGAATATGCATCACACCTTTCTTGTCACCTAATTAGGATGCCAGGGAACAGTCAGGGTAATGTGGGTGATTAAATTCCCTGCTCCTGGCTGTTTACCAGGAAGTAGCCAAAAAATGGGCGGGCGGGCGAAAGAGAAAGCAGTAGGGCCAGAAAACCTCAGGACCCAGTTCATTTCAGAATAATGCAGGGTCGCTGGGTTTGCTACAACCCGTCTGTCAACATTTCCATCTGTGTGAAAAGGATGGTAACCGCTTCAGAAACAGTGAGGTCGGCATGGTGTACACCTCTCTTCATATAGTGAAGTGTGCCTAAAACATAGCATTGACTGACTTATTTTTAAAAAATCAAATCAGTATGTGTATCTGTAATATTTAAGGAAGATGTGCAGTGAGAAGACTTTTATAATTAAAATGACTCTCTAACAACACAAGTGGAATCACCATGTATAGAGTTCAGAGCAATGTTGCAGGTCCCTTGTCTAACCTCCTCACTTTAGAGCAGTGGTTCTCAACCTTCCTAATGCCGCGACCCTTTAATACAGTTCCTCATGTTGTGGTGACCCCCAATTTCATTGTTACAAATTGAACATAATTAAAGCATAGTGATTCATCACAAAAACAATATGTAATTATATATGTGTTTTCCGATGGTCTTAGGCGACCCCTGTGAAAGGGTCGTTCGACCCCCAAAGGGGTCACGACCCACAGGTTGAGAACCGCTGCTTTAGAGAAAAGGAGCTGAGGCCCAGAGAAGTGGTGTCTAGGCCCTTTCTAACCCCCTTGTGCCCATTTGGCAAACAAGAAATTTTGCAAATGTAGGTCTTGGCATCCTGGATTTTTGCGTGCGATCTTGAAGCAGGACAGATCTGCTTGTATAGACATCTCTCACTGCCTTCTGGGGGAACTTTAATGGAATGGTTGACACTTGGAGATTTCCCATTTCACTTCTCCTGCGTGTACCTGAGGAGAGTAAAAGATGAAGCATTGTGACATCAACTTCAGCCCTGCACATAGAGCCTGTGAGATCCCTGGTTTTGAAAGTGGTAGACAGAGTGAGGGGCAATTACACAGTGAGCTCACTTGTTTTCATTCCTTTGGGAGCATCATTCAGAAAAATTAGCCTTTGAGGGTGCTGGCTGGGCAGGGGCTGTCTTGCTGGGTGAGAAAGTGTGCGTGTGTGTGGGTGGGAAGGGAGTCAGCATTCAGACACCGGACATGCCGTTGCAGGAGCAGATGGGTGTCACACACACACACACACACACACACACACACACACGCGCGCGCAGCACCTCAGGCCTGGTGTGTTCTGGGAATCAAATCGCATTCTCTTTCAGGAAATGGCTGTGGGGCTGCAGCCCACTGCTCCCCTAGCCGCAGACCAAGATATTTGAAACAATAAAAACAATTGCTTAAAACTTGTTTAAAAGGCATAAGGACCCTGAAGAAAAGTTAGAGCTGTAGTGTGTGCTGCTGAACAGGCAGTAAATGGCTGAGGGAGTGCTGGTCTGGGACTCTGTATGATTTCGAAGCCTGTGCTACTAAGCTGGTACCTTGTGGTATTTATGGTTTTAAAGTTGTACGGGCATTTGTGTTTGTGTAAGTAGTAGTACTGTGGACTTCCATTGCAGTGCACTTTTAGTGACAAATAAGATTTAATTTTATAAATAACAATGAGCAAAGTTTCTTCCAAGGAAATGGTGAGGCAAAGAGGCCACGAAACAGAATGCCCCCAATGACCACAATAGCTTTCGTCTCCTGAAGCCTTCAGGCCTTTTTTGCCTAAGTCAGGGTTGACTCCCCAAAAGAGAATAAACAACTCATGAATTTACCTTCCAATTTGACAGGCCATCTGTGCTTGCTGCCAGCTCGCCTGGCCCAGGTGTGTGTTATCACGTGGCCCACTCAGCTAGGCTGAGCCGGGGACCAGAGGTTTCCCCAGAAATGCAGGCTGTTCTGCTTGCGGTGGACAGAAGACACGATGGGGAGCTCAGGATGAGAACAGCTCAGAGGATGGGGCAGCAGACCCTGTGAGAATCTAGAGGAGGGAGTGTTCATCAAAAGTCATGATGGGCAGTATTGACTTCACAGAGGGCTTAGCAGACTTCAGCTTGGCCCTGTAGGCAAGAGGAGGGTGAAGGAAGGAAGCTTAGAGCATTGTGGAGTGGAGGGTTCATGGAGGGCACTGGTGAGCCACATTGCAGTGGTCCACGGGGCCAGACTCAGCTGCCCACAGGGACACTGTGGGTAAAAGACAGGCACTGGGAGTCAGGAGAGCTGGCCTCCTTGGTGTCTGTGCAACCTTCAGTGGCTGATTAGTCTCTATGAGCTTCAGGTTTCTCGTTAGGAAAATGCAGGCTTTCATATTAGACTAAAGCATGCCTGAGATACCTTCTAGGAGGGAAGCAGGTGCTGAGCTGGAAGAGAGCAGATGCAAAGCTGTGCTGTAGGGATACCAAGCCCACAAGGAGCCTGGGTTGGTCTGGAAGACAAGACTGAGCCTGGGTCAAAGGAGCCTGGCAGTCAAGTGTGGGAATATCCAGTCACCATGGAGGAGGTGATTCCCCTTATGTGATCTCCGAGGGAGTGACTGAAGAGAGAGGAGGAGTTAGCCTCTGAGAACACCCACTTCTACAAGGGAAAGGGGTATAGGGAACAGAAATGGGTAGCTCAAGAGGTAGGAGGAAAACAAGAAAGGACAGGAGGTTTGGAAGCCAGGAGGATGAGAGCCCCGGGGAGGCGTGGTGAGCCACGTCTAAAGAGAGGTTCCCTGGAAGATTACCTCTCTTAGGGCCTCAGTAAAAGCTGAGAGCCTGGGTTTGAAGAGCTTG